ACAAACTTCAGTTTACCTATATTCTTCCCAGAAATCGTAATTAAAAGCGTAAGAATCATGACAGTCAATAAACAATTTTAAAAATACAAATATTCCTTAAAACTGATGGTTTTATCTACCCTATCTCTGAACACAATTGCCATTTGAAAATACTACTAAAAACATACACTCCATGAATCCTTTTGTGCAAATTAATAGTATACTCCCGAGTGACAACTTCACTTATAGCGCTCCTTGCTTTCTTCTCCCTTTTCGAGCTTTTTGGCGGGGCCATTTATGCTGAAAGATGCCTAACTCTTAAGTGCCAATAAAATGGCAAATATTATTCGCTAGCGAAAGATGACCCTGTTTATCAGAAATGCTCACACCAATCAAGTTCATAAACTGTTTTTAACAAAGTCCACAAATCGAAGTAAAGAAATTAAAACTTTACAAGTCTTGTGCACGCAACCAACACCCGTCATAAAACTCCAAAAAAAAATTTTTTCGCCATCCCCCAAAAACATTCATGCTTCTGGAACATATTTAGCACAAATATAAAAAACTAAAGAATCTGTATTGCAACCTACAATCAGGAAAAATACCATTTGAAAAAATAGCTCGTCAATAATAATTCAAACGCCATCAAAATAAAAATTCCTGCGTTTGTTCACAAAGGGATATAAATAACACAGCATAACCGGAAAAGTAGGCAAGTGAACCCGGTAGGCAAAAGAAAATCACAAGGAAAAAAAGCTTCGATAAATTAGGCGTAAGAACAGAACGGAAGTACGAAAACTCTTTAATCAGTAGACAAACCTGGCATCCGTCAAATAAAAAACTTGTATCTTGCAGAAAACGATATTCTACTGACGCGAAAAACGGGCAAAGAAAACTCCTCTTAAAAAAACCCTCTCTCGACAGAGAGAATTAGGATGGGTAAAGTATCTGTTGGAAAAAAGGCAACTTGTGGTTGCTATGAGATATTTTTTAAAATTTCGCTTTTAACAGCTAAAAACCTACTGATACGCGGCTCGCAATTTTTAAAGCTTTTTAACATGTATCACAATAAGGTCCCTCAACGATTGTTGCCAAACTGTAGCTGGGAGGAGTTGTTTGGGAAGGTTTAGTCATCATCGCGCTGACCAATTCCTCGCAAAAGAGCTGCTCTAATTGTTTATTTCAGGAGGGCATGTTTAGTGTATTCATAGGATGTGAACTTAAAGGTTCCTTCAGCTGTCAGTAACTAGTTTTTCAGTGTTAATCACTGCACTGAGCAGATTGCTTTGCAGAGCTAACGCTGAAAGCTAGAAATTTTTACCAACCATTAATGAAACGCCACTGATACCTAAACAGGCATTCCTTGTTTTTATACGAAGTTTCTCGACCGAATTTGTTCTATGTAACTAAAGATGGCACAAAGTACTTCAAAAAAAAAAACGCAAAGTTAAAGAAATTGAATGCAGCATCTAAACGATGGTTTGCGAATGTTCCCTTAGTTTGCTTGGGATAATATGAATTTCAGAGCACTTACCCCGAAGAAAAAAATGACCTTACAGTCCACAGTATTCTCTGAACTGTTGGATTCGGCACGGTTCATCTAAAAAAACTTTCTAGAATCCAGAAGCACAATCCAGAATGGTGCAAAGGTTTTGATTGAAAAACATGTGGCCTCAAATACGCGATTGCCATCACCGGGCGCTATTTACGCATATATCGACCGTTCCTAAAACTTCCACGTTTCTAGAACTGTTCTTGGAAGACAAGTTGCCGTTTCTTTCTATTTTTTTGCTGTAAAACTCTGAGCCTTCTGCACCTTGATAACTGCTATGGAAAGAAATGAAAATAAGGCTTTAAAAGTGAGTTCTCCCATTCTAACTATGTGTTATTTAAAATTTGGAATGCAAAACAGCAACTTTTTTCTCTGGATTAGGTTCGCTGTGAAGACGTTTCTTGATTTTCCTGGCCGTGAGATTTCAAAAGCTCCAGATGTTGGGTGCTTTATTCTCTTTTTGCTTTTGGGAACCATTGAAAAAGATACATTGTTCTCATAAGCTTTTTCTTTAAACTTACTTTTTTGATTTTTATGAGAGAGGAAACACCACTTCTTGTTCCTCATCAACTTCACCTTCTTCCCTCAAAATCCTTCACCTAAGTCAACGACACAGTAAACCGCAAGGAGCAGCAAACCGAAACAAGGAGATTAATCCTGCACATTCGTTGTTCACTCAACTATAAGACTTTCTTTGCTATCTGTATTCTTCTCTGTCCAGGTGTCGATTATCCTCTTCAATGTCGATCCCAGCCAGTCATATTTCCATCGCTGGTTGAAATATCCTTTGCTTCCACTTTTATCCCAACGTTACAAGTTCCAAGTTTTACAAGATTTTCATGAGAGAGGAAACACGAACAATAACTTTTTCCGTGGATTAAGTTCGCTGCGAAAACGCTTCTTGATTTTCTTGTCACTATTTGCTTGCAGTAAACTGATTGTAATATGCAAATGCCAGAACACCTTGTGGGTCTTTTAGATAACCCGGGAGAATGGTGGTTAAAAGGCCTCCGTGCGCAGTTGATCTCCCCGTAGATCGTGAGGCGCCAGTGGAGAGGTTGTTAACTGAGATCAGACAATTTGTTGCCTTACCACACTTGTTTCGGGCAATATGGTCTTTTAAGCAAGCTGAAGATTTCCCAGTTGACGCTGCGATATACGATTTCTTTGAATATGGTTTTGATCGCCTGGCAGTATATTATAAATGGAAGTCGGAGATGACGAAGTATTTAAAATTGGAATAACTTAGGACTATTACATTTTGTATATAGCGCGTTGTCTTGTCTCTTGCGCAACTGTACACAAGAAGTGTTAATCGCTATACTACAAAGCGAGTGAATTTCAACTGCAATGTAAACCGTCAAGAAATGTTTACTTTTAAACGTTCGCGGCTGTAACTTCGGCGACAAATCTTTATCAGATTCAGGAATGAATCCTAATCTGATTTTAGGCCACACTCGATTACTGAAATTTGATGAAGGTACATCATTTCGAGATACTCTTTTACTATTCTTATAGAAATCAGACTTTAAAGCACAAAGTAAAAATTGGAAAGTAAACAGGAAAATCAGCACAGCGGTAAAGCAAACTTTATACAGCAGTGGCTAAACAGAATGAGATTATCAGATTTTTGCCTCTGAAACTGCAAAGCATGGTTAAAAGTTAAGAACAAATTCTAGCTGCCAGTAAGGTTATATCAGTAGCGGTTTTATGCCAGTACCTTTTTACGTCTGGTAAGCCGAATACAAATATGCAAATTACATATACCGCTAGATAGATAAATACAGCAAAAAATTTTTTGTAAAGTGTATATTGCCCAAAAATGTTGAATGAAGTAAGGGTAACTGCGAAATAGTAAAACTGTAGTTTACTCGGGGCACTCTGGCTGAACTGTAAAAGACATCCTTCATTTTATCAAAACTGACTTCTTTACACAGGTAATTCTTCATATTCTTCGCCTCAGGTTTCGCAAGCTTCAAAATATGTTAAATGTAGGAAACCATCCTCAGCGCCCAATGCGGGACTTGCAGCTTCTCTGTTCTAATTTTCGTTTGAATTCAAGAAGTCCTTCCACAGCGAGCAAAAATTGAAACCTGATCCCTATTCAATAATTGTTACCTCCAACAACGTGTTTTCTGAAAGAAATATTATCATGCTCTAGGTACTCAAAGGTACTTCGTCACTGCTCTAGGCGGTCTTAAGAATGTCCAACAAGAAAGAGATCAGCAGTATCTTCATTGCCAGGTGCAAATATTTATACTGCAGTAACACCATATATTACTACGGACATGAAAGCCATTGATCCAGCGATAGATCAGATATGACAAAAGTACCTTTTAACATTATTGAGCTTTAGGGGACAGGAGTCTTTTTTTCTTCTTCTAACGACTGCTGAAAAGATTTTAACTTTACAGTTCAGTCAAGCGTATTGTAGCGGTCAGGAACGGTACAGCCGAATACAGTCGAAGAAAAGTGCGTTTTTTTTCTCTTTTTGTCGTTAAATATATATACTGTTGCTTAATTTGGAAGAAATGTTCAGCCGGTGAGTAGGATTCTTAAACCTTGTGTTCTTATTCTGAGAAGAATTCAGTTTCAAAAATCAGTGGTTAAATTCGTAAAACTCGTGTATCAAGCTAGTGCCCCCACTGTCATCTCTTGCGAAACGCTATGCAGCGTTCAGCAGCGAATGATGGAGGGAGAATAGCTTACATTGTTGTTTGATTCTATTCTGTATAAGCCAGAAAAGATGTAATTCAGGGTGGGAACTACTTACCTCGAAAGTTATTGAAATAGAACTTCTTGCATCACCGTTTCAAAGAATAAAAAACAGCTGAAAATTATTGGTTCTGAATTAGCTGCTGCACGGTCTGAGTGGTCGAAGTTAAGATTCTTGTAGACTATATATTATATATATTATATATATATATATATATATA